GCATAAGTATAGGCATAATTCGGACTAATATAGATATTGAGGTAATATTAAATAAAAGAAAAATAATTTTAGGTTTATACTTGTAATACCAAAAAATCACAAGATCAATATATTTTACTATGAAGAAAATAGTTCCATACTTTGACACAAAACCAAAGAGAAAAAAATCCACACACAACAAAAACATTGCAACTCATAACTACCTGAATTTGACAAAGAAGGAAAGACTAGAAACTAAATTTTAAATTGAGTATCCAATTTAAGATATCGATAATTGAGAGACTACTTTGGAGCATAAAAATAGTTAAAGGAACCATTTTGTAATTTGAGGCTTAGTGTAAAGCTATTTGTTGGTGCGGGTGGCCCCTCAAGGTTCTTAAAATTGACAAAGAGTTAGTGCACCCTTTTAACAATACAAAAATCATGCTACCGAGTTAGTTAGTTATTTCTCGATCATTACATCACTTCCCAATTCCTAACCGGATTTGGTGATCCATTTTTCTAAGGTTGGGAGCCAACTTAGTGCGAGAAATAGTGTATATTAAGAATAAGACTAAGAGTGAGATTATATATATATATATATATATATATATATATATATATATATATATATATATATATATATATATATATATATATATATATATATATATATATATATATATTCTATTTTATAACCCCTAAAAACCACTATTACAAAAATAATTAAATTTTCATACTAAAAATTCAAAATTATATATCAATTATTTTAAATAAATTATTAATTAAGAAATTATTATGAGAAAGATTATCTCATAGGCTAATCATGGCGGGCTCGATTTTATGCCTTATATGTTCTCGTTCAGTGGAATTTGTTGATCACCTTTTTACAAAATGTATTGAGTTGATGGAGATTTGGCCGTGCATTGCTATTTGGTGGGAAATTCAGATTCCAACCCAGTTTAAATTTCACACCCTTATTAAGTGGTCAGATTCTGTTGCTTTGAGAAAGGGTCAACGAAAGGCATTTAATGATGTGGTTATGGCATCTTTCTAGTGCATGTGACATTTTCGTAATTCGACAGTTTTTGGAACGGTTATGCCTAGGAAATCCATGTTTTTTGATGATATTGTTTATAGATCGTTTTTTTGGATTTCTAACAGATGTAGTAAAGCCAAGATTAGACGGAGCTCTTGGTTTAATAATCCGGCCTCTGCCACTTTGTTATTGTCATGATTTCTTTCTAGCTTCTTGTTAGTTGTTTTAATAAAATTTTCCGCCGTTCCAAAAAAAAATTTAGTTATATAAAAATTATAATCGTTGATTCAAATAAATACATGAAATTATATTACTTTATAATTTGTATTAATTTAATTTTATTTTTTTATTCTAATGCTATTAATTTAATATAATTAGCGTGAGAATTTTAAAATTTGAAATGGAGAATTAATAAGTTGATAGGTAGGATTTCATTAATTAGGATGCCTAATATGATGACACATGACAAAAGAACTACTCTTTTATTAGTATACTAGACTAGATTACAGCCTGCGTTAAACGCGGGAACGCATAACAAAACATACAAATTATCAACATATATTGCATAATAGTTATCAGTGTTGCAGAAATCAGTATTTACAGCCGATTAATCGCTTGATGGCCTTGAACCGATTACGATTAAGGTGTCTGATGGAAATTGATCAAAATCAGTCAAACTCGGGCTTGACGGTCATTGGTGGTCATCGGCAGTCATAGGCGGGAAATATTTAAAAAAATATATTATTTTAATTTTCAAATATTACACCAAAATTTTTAATTTTCAAAATTTAAGATATTATACTAAAATTTTAAAATTTTAAATTTTTAAATACTTCTGTTTTTAGGATATATTAATTTTTTAAATAACTTTATTAATAATTTAGAGTTCCCGATTAATCACCGATTAATCCCCGTCGAGTCTGGTCAGTTAACGCCAGTCGACCGCCGAACGATTTTCACAACCTTAATAATTATTAAAAAAAAGTATGGTTATTTGTATTATTAAAATGTGTTACCAGATACATTGAAATAGATAAATATCTATAATCATTGAATGATCTTTTTGTAGATAATATTTTTTGTTTTATTAGTTGAACGACATTTCTCGTTACATATGAGTACCTTCGAAATTATAGATAATTACATTAATTTGATTTGACGAAAGATTGATAGGTAAAACACTAGGGACAAGACTTTTAGCTTATTTTTTCTTAAAGAAGATGAATCGTCACTTGAATCCATCATTTTGTTTTATTATTAATGTTGCTTATAAAAGTTAAATATAAATATATCTTTGGTAAGTTTTATTATTTTACTAGGTGTAAGGCCCATTTATTACATGGATTTATTTAAAAAAACTATATATAAAATTATAAATATTTGAGAAGTTGAATTTATAAGAAAAATAAAAAATATTGAATTATTAAAATTAAAGTTTTTTTTTTTTTTTTTTAATTTAAACAAATAATTTAGATAAATAAACAGAGAAAACTAATGGGCTTTAATTTATAAATTTTGAAATTAAAAGGAAAGTCAATTAATAAAATTGAAATGCTTTTATTATTATATTTATTACAATTAATATATTTGATAAAAATGAAACAACCACAACATGTTATGTGGAAAAAATTTAATTGAAAATAACCACAAAATGAAATGTGGCAAAATCAATGAGGATGTGACAAGTAGCAAAAAGTTCTTTATTTATTAAGGAGGATATGAAGAAAGTAATAATTATAACGGGGAAACATTATCTAAGAAATAAACGCTTGAAATATTATTTGAGGGAAAAAATCATGATCATTAAAAAAATTTAGATAAGGAAAATACAAATTTAGATCGGATGAAATTATGGATGAAATTACTGACGAATATTATTTTGGAGGGAATTGTATTTTTTAAGGTATAATGTCGTGACAAAATTCGAAATATGTATATTTGTTGTGTAAGTTTATAAATTTTATTGTTACTATATAAATATAAAACAAAATAGGTTGGTATGTTATATAAAGAAAAGTTAATCACTTTGTTTTAGTGTTAATGTTGTTTATAAAATCGATATATATATATATATATATATATATATATATATATATATATATATAGGGTTAGGTTATTTTGTTTTTACTAAGTATTGTGTGCCAGAATGCACAGATCTGGACCAATTGATGAAATTAATCAATGGATATGATTTGAGAGTATATGATATTACAATGGGGTAACATGTAGCATATAATCACACAATTTTAAGCAAAAGGGTATTTTGGACAATTAACTACATTTATAAAAGGAAATTTTCGGATTTTTAGGGATGATTAATTATCCTAATTTAAAAAAAAATCTGAATTTTTTAATTAATTCAATTTCAATTTTTTACCAATTTTATTCTGTCAGAATATTTTTTGTTTAAATGATGCTCTTTCAGAATTTTATTCTAATAGAATATTGTTTTGTTAGAATGATAGAATGCAAACCATAAACTAGTAAATATATTTTCGATTTTATTCTTGCAAAATATATTTCCAATGCAAATATTTGATTTGAGACATAAAAAACAAATTCATTCATATTCGTACAGACTAATATCCTTATACATTTAAAATAGTTATACATATTCTAAAAGAATATCATCAAAGATGAATAAAATTCTTAAAAAATAGCATTCTTGAATATACAATTATTGAACAAATACACTTGATCTTCTTCAATGGTTCGTATAATCCACTTGATCTTCGCATATATACTTGTTGTTGAACTCGATTCCAAATATTTTTCTTGTATAATCAATATTGAATTCCTTCTCTACGCAATTCTGAAAGAATAAGATACATTACTCGTTAGTATTATCCGTTAAACAAATATACTAGTTAACAAACATTCGTAAAGACATTCTAATAGAATACATTTATATAAAATAAATTCTGACAGAAAACATTACAAAATGCACTTAAATAACATTCTTTTAAAAATCTTTTGTGAATAATAGGCATCAAATTGATGATTGTTACTAACATCATTCTGAAAGACATTCTGCAAGAATGATTGATTTAAGCTGTAACTAAAAAAACATACTATAAATTCTAAAGTACACAATACAACCATTCTAATAGAATGTCGCAGACATTGAAATTCTATGAAAATACATATAAACAATTAACCAAAATTCTATCATAATTCTGACAGAAAACATTACAAAATGCACTTAAATAACATTCTTTTAAAAATCTTTTGTGAATAATAGGCATCAAATTGATGATTGTTACTAACATCATTCTGAAAGACATTCTGCAAGAATGATTCATTTAAGCTGTAACTAAAAAAACATACTATAAATTCTAAAGTACACAATACAACCATTCTAATAGAATGTCGCAGACATTGAAATTCTATGAAAATACATATAAACAATTAACCAAAATTCTATCATAATGCATATAAACAATTAACAATTCTAATAGAATGTGGCAGACATTGAAATTCATTTACACAAGTATCTGAATTCCAATTGAAATTCTTACTAACAATTAACAAATGGTTTATTTTTACACCAAATAACATGATCGTAACCAGTAAAAAAACCTAGATTTCAACTATGCATTTTATCGAACACTTGGTGTGCTTCTTCAATTTCTTCAAAAAAAATTAGTGAGAGTCTTATCAATTCAGTTTCTTGGTGGTCAAGAACTCGAGATACAACTAAAAAAACATGTTATGATTAGTACAAGAGCATACCAATTCAGTTTCTTGGTGGTGTCGTTGACGACCTAAAATCCACTGTTGCCTTTGTTTTCACCTTCTTTTGTAGACTCCACAACAGGCACCGAGAACCTCTTCACTGCCATCTGTTGTTGTTGCTTTTCCCCGATTTCTGTTCAACAGATTGATTTAGTTCAAACACAAAATCAATTAATAAGATTAGAATCGATTTTGATGACAGATGACTCGATTAGCGATAAAGGATTTCATGGAATCAATATTTTCCTCATCCTCCTCCTTCGAATCGGTGAATCAATGGAAGTGCTTCCCGATTTCTGATTCCAATCGTGCTTCTCCTCCTTAATCCGACGAAGATGAGTACAGGGGGATCTTCCCCTTGATCTTCTTTGCTGCCGATGACGGGAGAGGAACGAAGAACCGTTGAGTGCCTTCCTTCGCATCTTCCGACATTGAAGAATTTTTCAATCGCATCTTCCGGTTGGTGAACTAGGAGTGAAAAAGGTTTGAGGATTCTGGAGGTTTTATTAGACACGATTTAAGAGAGAGGCTAGGTCAAATATACTTATTCTATTTCCTTAATTGCAAGATTTAATTAAATGATTTCCTTAATTAAAAGTATAAAAGGTCCAAAATACCCTTAAATGATTTATTTAATTGTTTATTATTTCTTGAATTCTCATTGGTGCATTTTGGCACACAATACTTGAGAAAAACATTTGAACCTAGCTCTCTCTCTCTCTCTCTCTCTATATATATATATATATATATATATATATATATATATATATATATATATAAAGAGAGAGAGAGCTAGGTTCATGTGTTTAAAGTAAGTATTGTGTTATTGTATGCATAAATGTGGGCCAATCAAAATTTAAAATAAAAATAAATAATTAAATAAATAAATGAGGGTAAATAGGTAACTTGATAACTAGTTTCCACAAATAATAGCCTATAATTATGGTAACTATTGACTTAGCTACCTAGTTTTTTTCTATCCGCTTTTTAAAACCACAATGACGAATTAAAGGGGTGTTTTGGCTCGGCGACTCTTTGTGTTCCTTCTCCCATCGTCGGCAACCCCAAAAGCAATATAGGCAGTGGCTGCTAATAGACAAGGAATCACATGTAGAGAGGGATGGGCAAGTGATCTCCGGAGGACTCCTCCTTGGTGCATCTGCGTCATCACCAATGATTACAAGCCCGATGATACAAAGCCATCGCCACCATTGTCCGCCCCAAACACTTTCTTCGCCACCGGCCTCTGCACTGCTCATGCTCTTTATTCGCCAACAACACTACCATTTGTGATCGGTATGTAGCTTGTGATTTATCTTCATCTAAAAAACCAAGTTATCAACGGTTCTTCGTATGTTCAGATACTGTATTTGATGAACTTGAAGCAATCGTGTATTTGATCGGTATGTAGTTTGTGATTCTTTATTTGAGTGAGGATTGTTTATTTGTAGCGGATACAATTTTTTATAATCAGAGGAACTAGTGGGTATTGTTGATTAAAGTATAACAACAATTAATCAGGATTTTTATGTCATATTCCTAATTAGAAAGATTACGAACTCACAGAATGCATACACTCTCCATAACCTTTTAGGTTAATTTTCACCTCGTATATAACAAAAATGTTTGATTATGAAGGACAAGTTGTTGAAGGACAAATCCAACACCCCAAGATTACTCAACTGTGACAGGCTGGTAGGGATTCCACCAACAAGGACCGATGTCTTTAGGGTGCCCCTAGTGAATTGCTTCAACCCTAACTCTCCCCCTTTCAACAGATTGTGTTTTGCTTTTTTAGATTTTAATATATATGCTATAAAATAATTTTTTTTATTTGTTTGTTTTGCAGGTTTCAAAGAATTGAGAGGGACGAGGAAGAGTTTTGTTTCAATATTAGGTTGGTTTAGTGAATTGAAAAACAGACTTAGGTTTCATTGAAATTTGATTGTTTATTTTGTTTAGTTTTGTTAATGATATTTGTTGCTTCTGCTTATTTTAGGGCTTGATTCACTACCCAACTGATCAGTTTGATTTTCCAATGGGGTTGTACAAGACTATAAGTTCTAATTTTGTTGGAATCACAAATTCCAATTCTATTGGAATCACTAATTTTTCCTCATGATCTGCTGGAATCACAAATTTCAATTCTGTTGGAATCACAAATTCCAAATAGTGATCAGTTCTGTTGGAATGGAATCACGAATTCCAATTCTATTGGAATCACATAAGTTGATGCTTGAATAACGAACCACAAAATTGAAAGTGATTCTAAGCATCATTATTCTTTTAGTATGTATTAGTGTCGTTGTTACATTTTGATGTTTTCTTACCCGTTTTGAAAGTTTTTTTAGTTTTATTCTTTAACAATAAATGAAATTCTTAACAATTGTTACCCGTATTCTATCAGAAATAATGTATTTTTTGTTTTTATTCTTCAATTGATTGTTCAAGAATTTGTTATTCTACAAGAAATTTTTAAAGTCACGTTCAAGAAATAGAAATAGGTTCAAGAATATTTTTATTATTTATGGTTCAAGAATATTTTTATTTTTGAATATACCCATAAACATATTCTGTCTGAATGTCCGAATTAAAAGAATTATAATTCGTAAAGTTGGATTTTTAAAATTAATAGAATATATGATTCCTTAAAAAATGCATTTTTCCTTTATTAAATCTATATTAATTGACTAAAATACCCTTGCAATTAAATAAGATGATATTTTTCAATTATAGTTAATTCAATAATATATATTAATCACTTTCTTAAAATAAGTAAATTTAATTGACCCACATTTATGCATACAATAACACAATAATTACTTTAAATAGAATAACTTAAGCCTATATATATATATATATATATATATATATATATATATATATATATATATATATATATATATATATATATAGGATATAGATCCGGTAAGAATTTTTTTTTTGGTAGGAAGGTAAGAAGTTTTTTTTCTACATATTTTTTTGACGAATAAAATAAATAAATCACTAGATGATTCATTTGTAAGATGATTCACAAGAAAAAATTCTCAAAAAAACATCTTTATGATTCATTTTTAAGTAAATTAAGAAAAAAATTTATTTTTATGATAATTTTAGTGAATAACAACAAAATCATTGTATAAATGAATTATCGAGATGTTTTTGAGAATTTTTTCTTGTGAATCATCTTACAAATGAATCATCTAATGATTCATTTTGTTTGTTCGCGAAAAAAATATTTAGAAAAAAAACTTCTTACCTTCCTACCAAAAATTTCCTTCTTATTTGATCTTGACTCTATATATATATATATATATATATATATATATATATATATATATATATATATATATATATATATAAGGTTGTAGAACTCGTTACTCGGTACGTGTTCGGCCAACTACCGAGTAGCGAGTACTCGGATTTGGAAATTTGTGTAGAAATATTTTTAGTGATATTATATATGATAAAATCATAAATTGATTGAAATATATAACAAAATTGGATACATGTGAATACACAAAAAATGAAAAAACATAATGGTCTCTCTTCATGAATAATTACTGAAAATTTAAGATATATATGTAGTAATAATCGCATGTGTGTGTGTGTGTTTAATAATAAATCATTAAGTATATTACACATATTAATCACCGAGTTGACAGGATTTCACAACACTACTAAGTTCAGTAAGAGGCTGATCGGGGAGCACTCAGGATTATGTAACTCGCCTCGGCAAGGGGGGGAGTAGTGAGTACTCGGAGGAGTAATCAGCCAACTCAGCAAGTTTTACAACACTCTCTCTCTCTCTCTATATATATATATATATATATATATATATATATATATATATATATATATATATATATATATATATATATATATTTCAGGTGCTCAAAGTAATTATTGTGTGATTGTATGCATAAATATGAGCCAATCAAAATTAAATAAAAAATCAAATAACTAAATAAATAAATAAGGGTAATTTAGTAATTTGATTAATAACTTCCAAAAATAATCCCTATAATCATGGTATTGACTTTTAACATAATTTCTCCAGGTTTATATCTAGAGTCGTTCCCCTCTTTATCTGAAAACCAAATCTTGGCCGATCTGCAAAATTGGAATAGACTACAAAATCGATCTTGAGTTCTACAAAAATCGATTGCTATCGACATCTCCAATTGCCATCAACAATTACTCATCGACTTTATCTGTCTGCCATGTCTACTCCGTCACTCGTCGCTCCCTTCCGGCATCCACACCTTCGACCGATCCCATCAGGTGAAATTGAAGTTTATTCGAGTTTTACCGGTTGCCATCATAACCCAAATACTAACAATCTAGGGTTCATCCAGATTGGAATACCATCGTTTGCTGTTGCTGCCAATCTCCACCCGCCATTCGCTGTTATGGCTGTCGGTAAAACATCTCCACCCTCAATCGGTGTCTGATTCACCGAATTCGTCCCAATCGGCGACGAAACCTTGCAGTGGACATGCTAAATAGTTTGGTAATGGACATCCCTTCCCTTGAATTTTTTCGACCAGCTTCAAACCTGTGCTTTTAATCACTTATTTTCTATATATAATTTTTTTCATTACGTATTTCTTTTGTTAGTATGTTTAGACTTTGTAGAAATTTATAATTTTAACAACCAACCTTGAGTCAAAGTACGCTCATATCATGTTGTTTTTGGAAAACCACTTGGCAAAATTTTTTCGTTTGCAACTGTATTCAAAGAAGCCCACCAGCTGTTCGACAAAATACCTTCTCATATTTTAACTCTCTTTTTCGTTTTTGATGTGAATCAAATTGTGTGTTCTATTTAATTTTAGAGGAATCGAGTAAAGTGTGTTAATAAAAGACTTTCCCATCTTCAAACTCCTCTTCTTTATGTATTGGTGAAACTATCGGTTGGTTTTTCTCATTTTTGGAGAATGGTGTTTGACCATGGAACACACCTGTGATTTCTTTCTTTTCATCTTGGTTGGTTTTTTCCTTTTTTGAGTTAAGCTTTCTGTTCCTCACGGAAAGTTGTTTTTGTAATTTTAACCAAAGAAATGTTTTGTATTAGAGACGAGATTTTTATAACCTTTTCTACATACTGAAACATGCATGCTTTGTTATATGTCTCCACATGCCATTCAATTTTTGAACAGTCCTCACTTATACATACATACATACATACATACATACATACATACATACATACATACAGAATATGTTTGCTTAATATCTTTCATATTCTGTTTCATACTTATTCATTGACCAATATTAATTAAACAATATGATTTCTCCTTTAACTGTTTTGGTATGTACTTGACCCGATTATGAGCATGGTCCTTTTGGGTTGCCTTCACCATAGCAATATGTAGGATGATTTAAGGAGAGAAAGGTTTAAATATGATTTATTAATATATTATGAGAATAATATATTAAAGGAGAAATCATATTGTTTAATTAATATTGGTCAAGAATTAATTAAGAATTAATTTTGTGGTTAAAAGAGATTAATTAAACTTAGGGGACTGAAGTTGTAATTATAAGATAATTATAATTAGGCTATGGATCACCTAATAATATATAGGTTGAACGAATTCTATGGGAAGCCCATTAGAAATCGTCCAAGGGATATGTTTAAGGAGTCCATGGGCTGCTTAGGGCCTAAGTAGTCAGATTAGGGTTTCCTAGTTGTAAACCCTAATAGCCTACATGTATAAAAGGGACCCTTAAGCCCTAAAAACGTGAACAACACTTCCATTAGGGTTTCCAGCCGTTTTTTTGGTGCCTCTTTTTCTTCTCCTCTTCATCCAAGTTGCATATGGTGTTTGTGACTCCATTAGAGGTACTACACTTGTGGTACTTGCTTTCAAGAGCTAAGGAAATTCAAGGAACTAGTTGTTATTGCTATATAACAACAAACGGTATGTATTCTAGCTTTATATATGAATTTCGAAAATTATAGTAGCATGCCAGGTTTTTTTTTGTGTTCATAAAGTTGTATAACTAATAGTGAAAACATAGATCCAATACTAGGGTTGCATGCACACATAGGATTGTTTGTATAAGACCCATCAGTGGTATCAGAGCCATTGGTTTTTGTTTTCAATTAGCTTTTATTCAAATTTGTGAACTTGAAATATTTGGGTTTATGGCTAATAAACCCTAAAGGCTAGGTAATTTTCGCAATTAGGGTTGCAAAACCCTAGATGGCGATTTTTGCTAGGGTTTCCCAAATTCTTTCCTTAGCCTCCAT